GACTTACTCGTGCGATCAAATCGCCAGGATAACATCATATACATAGAATCAAGCCTCAAAACACATGATTTTCTCTCAACTTTCATAAAACTCAAATTCCCCATTTTAAGTCCGAAACACGTCATATGACGTTCGTTTTTAGCCAAACTTTATAGATAGTGCTTAAAATATATTTAAGACTCGTACCGGGCGTCGGAAACAAAATACGAGCCCGATACCACAGTTTTCCGATCAATTTTCTTCTTCATTTTCCTTAATTAATTTCAGAAAATAATTTCACACAAAAATTCATTTCTCGGGCTTGGGTCCCCGGAATTTGATTCCGGGCACACGCCCAAGCCCCATATTTTTCTAGGACCCTCCGGGACCGTCGAATCACAGGTCCGGGTCTGTTTAGCCAAAATATTGATCGAAGTCAATATTATGCATATTAATATCAAAATTCATCAAATTTCTCACAAAATTCTCATATTTCAACATAAAATCTTTCCGACTTCGCGCCCGAACTACGCACGCAATATCGAGGCAACTAAAAGCGAGGTTTTCAAGGCCTCAAAAGCACGGAACAAGGAAGAATTACGGTTATGACCCTTTGTGTCGTCACAATTGACAATGAAAAAAGGGAAAAACAATCATGTTCACGAGTTCATCTAATTAATCAGGGGCCCGCTTACATGTGAGGATTTTTTTGGTAAGGAACGATTTATTAAAACAACAACATACTAAGAACTATTACAATGAGAGGTCAGTCTAGGTAACATAGTGTCTCTTTTTAGTACATGAAAAATAAAAGCGGGGGGAGAGCATAAGTGTGCAAAATACAAAAAGTATTCAAGTTACAACCATTTTTAGCTAATAGGTTCGCTACTCCATTAGCCTCTCTAAAAATATGCTTCAAAGGTGGATCATTCGCCTTCCGCAATAGGTACCTGCAATCGTCAATCAATTTTTGGTAGAGACAATTGTTAGATTTAAGGAGATTTATTAGTTCCAAGCAGTCTGTCTCTATTACTATTGGTAAGAGGTTTTCCTTTAGTGCTAATTTGACTCCATGAAGCAGGGCCAGGATTGCCGCATATATCTTAGTAGCATGTTCAATTCTCATGTTGAATCCCAAGGTCCACTGGCCCCTACTATTCCTGAACACCCCTCCTACTCCTCCCACCCCTAGGTTCTCTACACATGATCCAATAATATTTAGTTTATAGAAGTTTGTAGCAGGGGGCTCCTATTTTACAAAAAATAATTTTCTTGGGAGGTTTTATGCCTAGATTTTTTGCCAGATAGATGTATTCAATAGTTTTGCTAATGGGTTGGCTTATGGAGGGGGAGATTTATTTTCCTGGAAGAGTATCCCATTCCTGAAGTTCCAAATATACCATAATAAGAAGGGGAGAATATCTTCCCAAAGTAAGTGATTGTTGAAGGTTTTCTTTGATGCAAGATATTTTTTTAAGCCAATTAAATATGGAGTCTTTTTTAATAGAGTTCAGAGGAAAATGGTGATCAGTTCTTGTTTGTGTCCAGATAGATCTTGAGTAGCTGCATTAGAAGAAGATATGTTCAATTTTCTCAGTCTCCCTATTGCATATGCTACAAGTATTGGCATGGCATATCCCTCTTTTGACAAGCATTTGTTTGGTGGGTAGCATGTCCCATATACTCTCCATAGGAAATATTTTAATTTATTTAGGGAGTTTATTTTTCAGAGCCAAGAGTAGTCTTTATTGTTATTACTTGTGTTATCTGAGATTGCTTCGTAAGCAACCTTGATGAAGAAGCAGTTATGTCCCTTCGAGTCCCAGGCATACGAGTCAGTTGTGAGCGTAGTTTGCTTTATGTATGTGCTATTGATTTTTTAGACTATTTATGGGAGAAATTCAAAGGATAAGTATCTAAGGTCGAATATTCCATTTTTGATAATGCAAGCGAGTTTTAGGTTTAGTTCCTTATGGCACGACCCAAATCAGAGGGTCATGATGGGCACCCGGTATCTACTCAACCGAGCGCCATATACCTTATCTTTTTTTTTCTATAAGACTCGTCACAAGCCATGATAGGCCACACCTATATATATAATTAACAATATTAGAACTTAACTCACATATTTAATCCAAAAAGATTTATATAAATATATAGGGGCCGACAAGGCCGTTGACATGTCATACCTAAAGCTATACACAAGACACTGTCTACAAAGCCTCTAAGAAAACATGACCATAAGATATAAGACGGGACAGGGTCCCCGACATCCTCATAAAATAAAGTAACATACATAGAACGTGACTCGGCAATACTCCAGGAAGATTTGGAGCTCACCAACCAAAAGCTGATATCTGGAGGCAACCTACAGTGGATGGTCCTCACCTCGCCTACCTACACCTGCGCAGCATGAAACACAACACCCCAGAAAAAAAGGGCGTCAGTAAAAAAAATGTACTGAGTATTAAGGCAGCAATGAAATGTAATAATAATAAAATACTATCTTGGGGAGATAAAAGAGTCAACTTATAACTTCTGACTTGCCACTGAGGGTCGTAACATATAGAATAAATCGCATCTCGTATATATAAATAAAAAATATAATATAATAGTTATAGTTACCTCATTTTTGTGACGTTAATTGCCCAACTGATCAGTGGTAACTGCTCGACTGGCCGTAGTTCGATGGTAAATGCATGATTGCCCAACCGGTGATAAATAATAATACATAACTGCCCAACCAGTGGTAACTGCCCGACCGGCCGTAGCTCGGTGGTAGATGTATAACTGCCCAACCGACCGTAGCTCAGTGGTAACTGTGTAACTGCCCTACCTAAATTACATGTATCTTTTCTTTGCACCGAAAATATTTGTGGAGTAGAATTTACTCAAATCTAATGGAATTTCTCTTGTTGGTAAAGCAACGCTTTTATTTAATTTGACAGGAAAGTTCCTAGTACACTTAGAAAATAATACAACATATATGATTCTCTATAAATATAACCTAATCATGGATCCATAAGAAATTAACTAACAAGCCCTATCTGTACTAAAATCATTTTCCAAAATGCTAGTCAATTTAGCAGCAACATCGCCAAACCAAAGTCATATATCCACACTCTCTTCTTTTATTATTCCTTTTCTTTTTTGAGTTAAAATCAAGACTATCAATAGTTTATATCTCTAGCTCAAATTAAACTAAATTCTTGCATGAACCCCTATAAGAAAGACAACAACAAGCACCATAAAGGGTTTTGAGCAGAACCTTTCAGAATTATCACAATTAATACATCTTTAACTGCTAAGAGTAGAAATACTTATGAAATAGCATTACGTTTACATATCGTTACTTGGATCATGCCAAAATGAAGGAAGGGCTTAGCCTTAACATATCTGGAGTAGGAAAAAAATCCGTATAATATTCTTGGAAAGATTTCACCATACTCCGTTAGAACCATAAAATTTTTACGTTGTTAAGCTTCCAATAATCCTCGTTGGGTTTTTGTTGAAAGATGTTTTGTTGATAGCGTGCTAACGTTTCTGGGTGTAAGAACTTTGGTTGAATGGCTAAAGTTGATCTTGGTTGAAAGAAGTGTTTGTTGTAAAAATACTTAACAATCTTATGGTATAGTCTTTTGTATATGAAATGTAAGAAATGACTTATTTGTTGAAAGAGTTTTGTTGTAAGAATTAGTAACATTATGCCACCTAATCAAGAATGAATCTTAGTCATTTCTTTAGCTATCTGCCACGTTTTGGGGTTGTCTCATCTCATAGTTTATTTATTAATTAGGTAATATTCCACTATCCGGTAATTAACCAATTACCCGCATAATTAAAAATTATCTCAAATTACTTAAAATTCTACTTATTTTTAATATACTGTATACATCATACTATCGTGGTTATATGGTACCTTGTATGGTACTAGTCCATAAGTATCGGGTATTATCGCTCGACCCGCAGTTTATCCCAATTCAATAACCTTAAAAAAAACTCATTTTCTTTAATTCGTGTTCCCTTTCCTTCATGGCACTTACTTATTGCTGGGTATAAATAGCATAAATATGCTAACATCAAGGTAATCTCATCCCCGAGTTTATGTCAATTTACTGAAGATGAAACTTTAACGTATAAAAATGCGAGATGTATATCTTTCCCCCCTTAGAAACATTCGTCCTCGAATGTTTAAACTTGCAAGATGTACATATATACCCATTAAGTATAAATGTATATATCCTCCCGGGCTATACTCCAATGAAAAAAATATCAGGCTCTCACGGGGTCAAGACATCGTTCCTCCCTAGAACTACTTCTTAATCCATTCGTCACCTACGATTCTTTTAATATATATTCTAGGAGCTGACACCTACTAATTGTAATCTTAATAACCGGGTTCATGCTTTGCTTTCAAGCTAGCCTTAGTTTCCCTTAACCCTTCAGACGTAATGCCAACTCAATCTTATATTAATCATATTAACTAGACAATTTACGTTAATAAGATCGAACATTACCCATAGTAACAGTACCTGACACATCATCCGGTGTAGCCTCTGGGTCCTGATGACCTGCCAACGCATATATGCAGTTATAACTACCGCCGGAGCTAGATGCTCCACTCTTGCCTCTACTTCTACTAGATGATGCATGCATGCCTCACTTTTGAGGGCGTACTGAAGAGGAGGAGACTGTTATAGATCTGGTGGGCTGAACCATCCCGCTTCTGTCATTTATAGGACAATCTCTTATGTAATGACTAGGGTCTCCACAGATATAGCATGCATTAGATCCTTGACGACATTTTCCAGAATGAGCTCTACCGCATTGACTGCACCGCGGAGGGGCGCCCTCATCTGCGCTGAATCCCTTCGATTTTGAAAACTCGAAATTCTCGAGCCCTGACCTAACTCAGAATAGACAAATCCATTATAATATGGTTTTTGTTACTATCAGACACTTTTAACAGGGTATGGTGATATAGGATCGCCCGGAAAATCCTTAGTTCGCCTAGCAGACCTAGCCTTCTTACACTGATCCTCATTACGATTCTCGTATTGCTGTCGTTTCCGATCCTCCAAATTCTGAGCATGAACCTGGATGCGGGAAATATCTATACCATCGAGCAGAGTGGCTGTAGAGTATTTATTAATCAGGTGCGGCCCAAGTCTTACCACAAACTGATGTACTCGATCACTCATTTTAGCCACAATTGAGGGGGCATACCTCGCCAAGGAATCAAACT